CTCTCCCTCTCCCTCTCCCTCTCCCTCTCTCTCTCTCTCCCTTTACCTCTGTATCTTCACCCACACGCAAAGTGTGTCTGCACCAAAGGCCAGAACTCCTGCTGACAACAGCAGAGCCTCCTTCTTTCTTGGCCTGGTTGCTAGCTACACGGGTGTGTTAAGTCACCTGCCTGTGCGTTTACATATCAAACACACTTCTGTACATGCGTTAAATTTTAACATTTGGAAAATCTGGGCTTATACTGTGTTCTGTTTTGCAGTGCTGGGATTCAAACCCAGAGCCTTGAGCATGCTGGACAAACTGGGCTGAACCATCAGGCTCCCAAATTTGGTTGTTCTGAGTGACAATTTTCTTTTTTTTCTTTTTTCAGTGACAAATCTTGAACTGATCCATTGGGTTGGGGTTCAGGCTTAGCTGCTTCCTGGCTATGTGACCATAATAAAGTTATCTCACAGAACTGTAGCTTCCTCATCTATGTGATGGGAGATAAATTGATAGATTGCACATGGACCCTGTCAGTGGTCACAACCCACGTCAGTGGTCATGATCACATGCCCTGCGGTGTCACCTATATCCCAGAGGAAAAGGGCATCTGAGAAATGACCAGCAGACTGAGTGTGAACCTCAGAAAGAGTTTCAGGTAAAGTAGAGGGTGCCGAGTCCACTTCTAATATTGAGGCAGGAGGTAGTGACAAGAAATTCCTGGAAAGAGGTGGCCTGAAAGCCAAAGGGAAAATAAGGCTGGCTCTTTAAAAACCACAGAGTGACAGCTAGACCACAGCTGGAAAAAATAAGAGGGTGTGTGCTGTGGGCTTCTGGGGGGGACCAAGATAAGCTTTCTAAAAGCCACGAAGAGCACCCACCTCTAATGATTAAGCCACGCCTGGAGACACGTGTCGCATAGAATATAGTAGACAACAGAACGTGATCCCAACTCGATGAGCTGTAATCTCCATTAATTAATTGTCATCTCATTTATACTGTGGTTTTGAAACTCCCACCATGGGCTTTGGAGGCCATGACAGCTCCTCAAAGGTCTAAACAGGGGCAAAACTTCACTCCTCCTACCGACAGGACCCCTGTCCCTGATTAGAGTGAATTGCCCTCCCAGCTCACAGAACCCCTCCCTCTCTGCGAAAACCTATATAGCTCCGAAACCTGGCTTCTTCCTCGGTTGTGAGCTCTTTTTCCTGGCCTCCTACCACCCTGGAGAGTGGATCCTGACTAATACATCTATGCTTTCACTTCTACTTCTGTGGGTCCCACTCGATTCCTTGTTCAGGATACCAAGACCCTAAGACAGTCACCACCCTCCACAGCAGTGTCAGTCTGAAATTTGACATGGGACAGAGTCACCATTGATTTTTCATCATTGACCTAAAATTCAAAGATAACTGGGCATCCTGTTTCTCTGTTTTGTTTTTAAATTTACTAAATCTTGCCATCGTGAGCCCATGGCTATGTTCCCTGAGCTAAGACCTTGGTTATCTAATTTGTAAAGTGAAAATGAAGCTCCCTTCTGCTAGTGACCAAAAAACAAAGACAATTAAGGTAGGTGGGTGAGATGTTCCCGGGATATAGAAAGCACTTCTAGGGGCTGGGGAGATGGCTCAGTGGAATAAACGCTTTGCTGGCAAGCGCAAGGGCCTGAGTTCAATCCTTGGTTCTGCAAGGAGAAAGAAAGAAAGAAAGAAAGAAAGAAAGAAAGAAAGAAAGAAAGAAAGAAAGAAAGCACTTCTAATCTGTTCCTTATATTTCTCACCATGTCCCTTTTTTTCTGTTTTACCTCGTTTTCTTTGCTCACATCTTGGAGTCTGCAGGGCTCCCGCAGCTTGTCTAGCTCTGTTGCTCGTCTTGGAAGCTAACAGAGTTGCTGGTGCTGCCAGATTATGATTGGCCATAAGATGTAAGCAGTAAATAGGGAAGATATACATAATCAGGCAATGAATCGATTTTGGCAGGGAGCGATATCTGGTTCTTGCAGCCCCAACAACAGACAAATTCTAATTTTTGCTGAGGGCTGGCCATGCTTTCAGTTTATCCCTGCCCACGCTGGTGTCTCAGGCTTCTGACGAAAGCCTCATCCTCTCTCCAGCTTTCTGTGTCCACTTGGAATCTTACTGTTTCTGGCTAAACTCTGCTGCAGGCCTCCTGGAGGAAGTAGGAGAAGCAAATCAATCTTTAAAATAAATTATAAAGATCAAGGCAGAGTGATGTAAGAGAGTTTCCAAGCATAACGTCAGGTAACACCTTTAGGCTTTGTTTTAAAAAAAAAAAAATAGAATCCCTAACCCATACATCACTGTCGTTTGAACCACAATGTCTAAAAATAAGATTTGCTCTAATTTCCTGAGTAGCTGAAGCAAAAGAAGAGATTGTGTCAGTAGTGAGTAGGCTGTACTTGGGGGTAAGTAACTTCTCTTTGATGGTACTGCCTTAGTGATGGTGGTGGGGAGACTCACCTCCAGAGATGTCAGGAAAATCCCAGCAAAGATGAAGAATTCTGGAGTCAGATAAACGTGGGATGGAGCCCCAGCCATGCCTTCTCCTACCACAACAGTGTTGGGTAAATTACTTATCCTCTCTGAGTCCTGTCTTTAAAAAAACAATGAAGACAACTGTAGTTCCAAGCCTATAAGGATTTCCCACAGATGAACGGTAGGCATCTGTTGACTACACATGTGAGTCGTGACCTCAGGACACACTGCAGTAGAGGGAGGACACCTTCCACTCAGGGTGCCAGAGAGAATTCTAGTCCCAGAACTAAAGCAGATGTAGGCTTTCAGAGTAGATGGTTTTTTGTTTTTCCAGGCACTAAACATTTGAGTCACACATCAGTGTTACAGCATAGAAGGGAGAGTCCATTGGGTCATGGTCTGAGGGGCAGGGACACTGTGCAGTAGGTCCCTGAGCTGCAAGGAGCTGCCCACACTGTCCACTTTAGCTGGCCACTCTCTCTGCTGTCAGGCCTTGCCACTTCCTCTGTGACCTCTGCCCCTCTCCCTGCCCTCCCTGGAAACAGAGCCCTGTGTGAACTTTTATCACCCCACCCCATCTGATGGGGGCGGAGCTTGGTCCTGCAGATCATCTCCTATAGGCCAAAAGCTTTCTTGTAACAACTCTGTATTCCTAGCACCCAATGAGGGCTTGGTGCATCGTTGATGCTCAGGAAGAAACGGACGAATGAATTAAATTGCCCAGTTTTATCAAGGATGTATGCAGCCCGAAAGAGAAATTCTTATCTCCATCTGTTCAAGCTGCTCTAACAAAATACCATAAACTGACTGGTTTATAAATATTTAAAATTTATTTCTCACAGTTCTGGAAGCCCGCAGTTGAAACCAAGGTGTAGAAAACTCAGTGTCTCAGAAAGGTCTGCTTTCTGGGTTAGAAAATGTGCCTCCACACTATCTCATCCAAAGCTGAAGGGGCTGGCTAGCTCTCGGGGCTCTCTGATAAGGGCGCTGATTGCAATCCCGAGGCCCCACTCTCCTGCTCTAGTCATCTCCCAGTGGCTCTGCCTCCTAAGATCACCTTGAGGACAGAATTCCGACATACACATTCGGGGGGCGGGGGATATTCATTCAGGCCACGGCACTCAGCGTGATGAGGAGAGTTCACCCATCAAAATTTTGGTACACAGGCACAGAGATTGCCAGCGCAGCACTTTATAATGAAGGAAAACTGGAAAGAACTGAAATGCCCATCAATAAAAGAATGGGGTGGATCAATTCTTAAAGGGCGGCAGTGAAAGTTAATGAACTAGAACTCTATGTATCATCGTGGATTGATCTCAGACATCCTAGTGTTGAGTCTGGGGTGGGGGAAGCTACTCACAAAAGGACACGTAGGATAACACCACTGTCAAGTCAGTCTGCCTGTCTGTCTGTCTGTCTGTCTGTCTGTCTGTCTGTCTCTCTCTCTCTCTCTCTCTCTCTCTCTCTCTCTGTCTCTCAAAGCATAGATGAGTTACAAGAGGGTTAAGTGTATTTCCAGTGTTCCATTTCTCAGACAGTTTGATGGATACATCATATTGATCTCTATATGTTTTGTATACCTGAAATAGTTCTTTAGAGCTAAAGCAAAGTGGCAGCAGATTAGACATGAAGGCTAAAATGAAACCGGCCTCATTCCCACTTCTGTTCTGAGAGCGCCTGGCTCTGCATCCTGTAGGGGGCATTTAACTGCTCTGAGCTTCAGTTCTCTCGACATTGCAGCTCTTCCAATGTTGACTCTTGGAAGAATTAAATGAAATAATGTGTAGAAATCATTTAAAGCAA